GGCCCCCTGGCCCCGGGGCCGGATTCCATCCTGTGGTTCCCTCCAGCCCTGCAGAAGAAGCCTGAGGAAATCAACAGGCGCTCGGCCGACATGTGGAGCTTTGCGGTGCTGCTGTGGGAGCTGGTGACCCGGGAGGTGCCGTTCGCAGACTTGTCCAACATGGAGATTGGCATGAAGGTGAGGAGGGGGCTCGCCAGGGCCTTGGGATCGTGGAATTACTTTAGTTGGAAGAGACCTTTAAGATCATCAATTCCAACCATTAACCCAGCACTGCCAGTTCACCACTAAACCATGTTCCTCACCACTAAATCTACACATCTTTTCATTACTTCCGGGAATGATGGCTCTACCACTCCCCTGGCCAGACTGTTCCAGTGCTTTACAACCCTTTTGGTGAAGAAATTGTTCCTAATATTCAACCTAAATCTCCCCTGGTGGAACCTGACTCTCTTTTCTCTTGTCCAGTAGGACATTATTCAAAATAGGATGTTATTCAATGCTTTTTAAACAGGGATTCGGTTACATTGTTTAGTAGGCAAATCTGCCAACTCCAGCTCTTCATTGTTTTACTTCATCCATTGTTCCTGCTTTAATTTCCTTTGGGAATCTTATCAGAAAAGAATGCAGTGTGACAAATGCAAAGAAAATGTTCTGATCATGGTGATTAAAGAAAAAAAAAATAAAATTGAAACATAGGAGATTCTGATGTGAGAGTTTGCTGATAGAAATCTCAACTTTGAAGTGATCCCGAGGTCAGTCTGCCTGGAAAGGTGGTAACTTTCATGGACATCAATCTTTTCTTCTTTACTTGAGAGGCTGGAAACTTTTAGAAGTTAAAAATGATCTTCAGGTTAAAAAAAATCTATATGCAGTTCAGAATAATTATCAACATAGCTGTGTCATATATCTTGTGATCCAAGGTTGCGCCTCAGCCTTTAACCTGATCAGTGTGTGGGTACAGAGCTGCCCACTGTGGTGTGGAGTAGAGGCAGAACCTATTGCAGGAACCCCCAGCCACCCTCCAGGGTACAGTTCCAGCCTGTTGCCTCTGGGGCCAGGTCCCCATTTCTGATCCTGTTCTGCTCTCCTGTGCTCCCAGGTGGCCCTGGAGGGGCTGCGTCCAACCATCCCCCCTGGCATCTCCCCCCACATCTGCAAGCTGATGAAGATCTGTATGAACGAGGACCCAGCCAAGCGTCCCAAGTTTGACATGATCGTGCCCATCCTGGAGAAGATGCAGGAGAAGTAGCGGGAGGCGCCTC